ACCGTGTTAACGTGTTGACGGTGTTAACGTGTTGACGGTGTTAACGTGTTGACCGTGTTGATGGTGTTAACGTGTTAACGTGTTGACCGTGTTGACGGTGTTAACGTGTTGACCGTGTTAACGTGTTGATGGTGTTAACGTGTTAACCGTGTTGACCGTGTTAACGTGTTGATGGTGTTAACGTGTTGATGGTGTTAACGTGTGCACATTTAAGATGAACATTTACCAAAAACAGTGTTTTTCTAAAGTGTTTTTGTAAGAAAATGGTCACGTATGAAATAAACAGGATGTAACTGTGATGAAGACTGAATGTGAATGTCTTTACTTTATGACTATTTAGAATGTCATGCATGTAATATATTACATACATGTCGATTGTCATGTAAATAAAGTCATTTTCTAAAACAGAAAATCTGCTGAACTGACTGACCTGCTGCTGTTCTTTCAAAATAAAATCAGATAAAGATGAGCTTCATCTTGTTTGTTCGGTTTATTAGCGAGTGGCAACCAACGTCAAGGTGCACTACCGCCACCTACTGCTGTACTTTGTCTTTTCATTAGTTCTGATGATCACCTTCTGTTCTGTCAAAATAAAAGCAGCTGAATTGACTGAGCAGCTCTACTGAAGAAACTTAAACACATCAAGATTCTACAGGGGGCTCTGCTCATCAGAGATGATGTCATCAGGAAGTGATGTCACATCAAAATGCGTCGCGTGTGTTTTATCACATTGAGCTGTTCCTTCCCTGATCTCAGCAGGAGCTCAGGTTCAGAGTCACAGAACAAGTGAGAGTCAGGATCTTCTCCATCGTCCTCACACTAAACCAGGAGCAGCTCTTACCAGACTGGGCCAGCAGGTGATGCCGACCCTGGTGTGCAGGGTGGTGGAGAGGAGGACGAGCAGCAGCAGGGTGAAGAGGAACGCAGTGCAGCTGACAAACTCAAAGGAGTAGAGGGCGAAGCAGCTGTTGCAGCTGCTGACCACCTCCTCCAGTATGAAGGCCACGAAGGAGAACATCTGACAGAGGATAGAAGAACATCAGCTCACAAACATCTGGTGTCACGTTGACCCTTTCTCCCACAGACGGGAGAGGAGGAAGTTCTCTGACTTTTCACTGAGTCAAACAGAAATCAGCAGAAGACGAGACAGTTTCATCATAACATGATATGAGACAGAAACGATGACAAATCTGCTGACTGTCGGTAAAATGATTGAAAATGGGAGGAAATTATGAAAAATGATCCGTCACAGTTTCCTAAAGTTCAACACCTGAAAATATTCAGTTTCTTTACTCTGACTCCCTGTCCGTCTCAGACACGATTTAAACTCTGCTGCTGCTTCGTGTTCCAAAGCCTCAGACCATCAACACGCCTCACACACACACCTTGCCTCACACGCCTCACACACACACCTGTCCAGAATCCAAACTAAACCTGGAGACGCAGCATTCACTTTTTATTCTTCACACAACAAACAAACTTCTTTAAATGAGGATCAAAGAATTTCCTCTTTGTCTTTTATTAAATCTGAAAATGACTCATTGTTCATTCTGCTCTTCATGTTTACTCTTATCTGTTGTTGTTGTTGTTTCTATTCTCCATCTAAATGTGTGAACGTGCTTTTCCTTGTAAATATTCTATGAATCATAATTACAGGGTGTAACTGTGACATCATTTCTCAGTTTGTAAAACTGACGTAATAGTTTTACAAACCAAACGATCTGTAAACTTATTGACAAAAAACAGCAAATTAATCTGTAATATCATTTTTATAACTTTTAGAAACTATTTAACCTGAGCTACATTAGTCAACGTAGCTTCAAAAGCTAACAATGTGTTTCTAACATCGGGAAAACCTTGTTCCCATCACCAGCTCTGACTTCGCTCCCTTTGCTAACATAAAACACTGATCATGTGATCCTCACCACAGACAGACAGGGGACAGTTTTCAGGACATGAGGACATGAGGAGCTCTCTGTTGTGTCTCTGTGCTGTATATTTGGATCATGTGGTGAACCGAACTCCAGACCGCTGGGTTTTATTATTGGAACAGGATATAAAAACTCTGTTTCCCTCAAACGGAGACAAACCCTGAGCCACAGGGTGAAAATCAGAGCGTCTGACGTCAGAGGTGCAGAACACAGACTGAGACACACACACTTCAGTTGGAGGTTTGCATCATGGCTGCGGTTCAATTCCCATCGGAGCTGAAAATACTAAACGTTTTCATCAGGGGGTCGAGGATCAACTGTCAGTGACGTCACCTGTTGGTTTGTGAGCTGCTGGTCTGAAGCCTCAGTGTGACATCGTCCAGCGCCATCTTGGTTGTTTAAAACCAGAAGTAACCATATTCGGAAGAGTGGGGGTGGAGACTGACTGAGAGCTCGAGGACACACCCACTTACATCTGCCATCATTTAGTTTTGCACTTTGACTCAATGAAACCCTGGAGAGTGTGACAACCCAGAGGCATCATGGGAAGGTCAACCTGAACATCCCCTTTTCTAACCGAGCCCCTGCTCCCGTTAAATGTTGCAACAGCAGCTCGGAGTTCTTCTTCACTTTCACTTCCCAGTGTGCAGCTTCCTGCAGCACAGACACACAGACACATAGACACAGACACAGACACACACACACACATGCACACGCACACACACATGCAGACGCACGTACGTTCTGGAGGTGAAGCAACATGTCCTGTTTTTGAGTTTGAATGAAATAAACAGAGGTGTCAGAGATACGACAGTTTCAGGATCTTTGAACTCACCACTTCAGTGACTTTGATGAGGAAGCGGACTTTGTCCAGATGCTGTGATGGAACCAGGCACCAGGAGGATTTGGGGTTCGGAGCAGTTGTGGGTGAATAAACCTCAGACGCCATGATGGAGCTGAGACAACAGAGAGAGTTCCTGTGTCAGAGGACGACACATGATGTCAGAAATCCTAGCAAAGACAGCTAGCTGCTACACATTGCTGCTACTCTGTTGGTGGAGGAAATAATCTGAACGTCACACGACACAAACAGAAGTAAACCTGCAGCTCCATGTTCAGATACATGTCATCGACAGTTCTGATCAACTCTGCACCAACACTGAGCTTCTTCTGTTTTTCTCCACATGAACAATTGAAATCCCAAAACATGAGAAAATCAGACTCAGGTCCAAAGAGTCCAGAGTTGTTCTTCAGTCAGGAGACCAGGACATGTGGTCACGCTGTCCGTCCACTGGCATGTTCATTTTGACAGTTCAGATATAGGAACATGTCACATGGCAGCGACACATACACACAACACTGACCAGCCCATCACCACTGTTTTCAATATCAGTGATCAATCATTGTTGTTCTGTAGAACTACAAGTTCACTTTAACATCATAAGTAAAATGAATGTAAAACACAGAACATCGTCATATTTCAAAGAATATTTGTATTTTTTACTTTAAAAAAAGAATAAAACTCCTGAAAACCTTTGTCACGCGTGTACATGAAGTTAAATCTACTTCAGTAAAGTGAGAAGTGTACTCAGGTACAGTAAATAAGTAAATGTACTGTATAACTCCTGCTGCAGGTACGATCTTCACTGAAAAGTTGAGTTTATTGGATTTGACTTGTTTCTATTTAAGTAATGAGACGATGCAGAACTTGACCTGCGGTCTGTTCGTCAGAGGACGTGTGTTGGTGAGGCTCATGTGTCATCCTCCATGATGACGGTTATTCTCAAGAACCAGGCTCTGAAACTTATTTTCTGTGTGTGTGTGT